CACCCGCAGGCGAGGCACTCGGAGGTGAGCGCTTGCCGACCGGGGCAGCGCACGTCCGAGCGTCGCAGCGGAGGCCGCACCCGAGAGCGACCGCCGCCGCCGCGAGCGGAAAAGCGGCGGCTCGACGGAGGCGATACGCCGAGGGTGCCACCGGCGCCGCCGCGAGGGAGAGCAGCACCGCGCCGCGGCGGGGGCACGCGAGGCAGACACGGCGGAGGGGGCGGAGCCCGAGACGTCGTAGAGGAGGTCGCGCACGTCGCCCAGGCCCTCCCGTGCACCCACTGGTCTGTCGCTGGAGTGGGAATGGGATCGAGGGAGAAGTCATGCCAACTCAGGCTGCGTGGAGCTCGGAGCCCTGGGCCTCGGACACCCGCTGAGACAATTCAAGAACGCACGCCTCCTCCTGGAGATGTGCACGGGATGGTGGGTTATGTTGCATGTTTAGGGGGCCTCATCTGTCCCGTAGCGCCAACCATGACAGTCGCACCCGTGTCGAACCCGTGCCAAATCCGTGTCGAGTCCACGCCAGATCTGCGTCGACTCCACATCGAGCCCACGTCGGGCGCAGGGAAAGCTACACATGCTTGGGACCGCTGAGGTCCCCCGAGCATGCAAGGTAAGGTGTGCCGAGGAAGCAAAAAGGGGGGGCCCAGACTCCCTCGGGTCATGAAACCATCATGGCCGGATGCTCTCCCTGATGTTCGGCCTCCAAAGGCCCTCACCGATCCTTGGGACAGTCAAGCAACGACTCGGGATGAAAAGCTGGCTCGGGAGAGCGAGTCCCGATCGCTGGGGGTTCACGAAATGGAACAAACACGGCGCTGGGGGAGGAGGAACAGGGGGTCAAACATGAGGAACCCAGGGTTGGGATTTACATGTATTCGCCACCAGGGAAACCGAGCTTCTTTGACCCTGGGTGGCGATGGATATGTACACTATGTGTGTATCAATGTGTACATATGTAACTATATGTACAATTGTCAGGGCGTGGGTTGTTTTCCTCCATCGAGTAATCCCAGGGAGAGGAGACTGGGTGAGCCTTCGTGGCAGCCTGTGGGCGTCCGCGGCCTTATCCTAAACGTGATTTCGACCGGACCACGTCCAAATGTCAGATTTCGTCCAGATGTTGTCAGATGTCGTCCAAACTTCGTCCAAACGTCGACTACATCAGACGCAATCCAGACGAACTCCCCCAAACCGCAAGGAATGCTGGGACCTTCTGAGGCTCCCATGAAGGACCACACAATATATGGTCTCAGCCAGGCCAGCGCTGCGTTCCGAGCGAGCTGCATGAAGGCCAACGGGGCAGCCCGAGCAATGACCTGACAAATCAGCCGTCATCCGGGAAGCAACAACCGCATCAATGACGCGCCGCCATGGGGAACTCACCAGCGTTGGTACGCACTGCCGAAAAACAGCAACAATCTTCGGAACACCTCGAACAAGTAAAACGCGAATGGGTTACCAGCGGCAGCGCGTTCCATTTGTACTCTCTCTACTCCCTCTCTCGTTGATACTCCAGACCCCTCTGTCCTTGATACGCTCCATTTCTTTGAGAGAGCGTGATCCACCGCCGCTTTACTGTGGAAAATTGCCCCCCTCTTGCTCTGGAACCCAGGGTTTTCCCCTCCCCCACCCTCCGGAAAATTCCCCCCCCCCCCCCCCCCCCCCCCCCCCCCCCCCCCACCCCCCCCCCACCCCCCCCCCCCCACCCCCCCCCGGTCCCCCACCACCCCCCCCCCCCCCCCCCCCCCCCCCCCCCCCCCCCCCCCCCCCCCCCCCCCCTCCCCCTCGAAAGCAGGGGGGGGTCACTACCGGTTCGACCCCAACCCCCCCCCACTGGAAAACTGAAGGGGTCACTACCGGTTCGAACCCCCCCCCACCTCCCCCACTCACCGCCAGCAAACGACTCCCGGTCCCTACCACTGGCCGCACCACATCCCCCACTGTTGTTCCCAGCGCCACTGTCCTCACCACCTCTATCCCCACTGGTTCCGCCACCGTCCCTACTGTCCCAACCAGTGCCCCCACCACTGTCGCACTGTCCCCACTGTCCCCACACTGTTCCCACCACGGTTCCACTCTCCCCACTTTCTCCACGGACCCAACCACTGCCCGACTATCCCCACTGCCCCCACTGTCCCACTGACTCTTCCGCTGCCCCACTGAGTTGTCCCACTGTTCCCACCACTGTCCCCACCACTGTCACCACTGCACCTGTGTCCCATTGTCCCGCCGCCGTCCTCGCCACCGCCTTCACCACTGTCCCCACCACCACTGTACCCTCCACTGTCCCACTGTTTCCACCTCATTCCCAGTCCCCACACCACTGTCCCCACCACCACCGTCCCCACCACTGTCCACTGTCCCCACTGTTCCCGCCATTGTCCTCACCACTGTCCCCACCACTACCGTCCCCACCACTGTCCCACTGTCCCCACCACTGTTCCGCTGTCCCCTCACCACTGTCCCCACCACCACAGTCCCCACCACTGTCCGCCCCCCCCCTCGGTTTTGAAGGGGGGGGGGGTTCGAACCGGTAGTGACCCCCCCCCCAGTTTTCGAGGGGGGAGGGGGGGGTCGGTTCGAACTGGTATTGACCCCCCCCCTTTTCATGATGAGCGGGGGAGGGGGAGAGGTTCGAACCGGTAGTGACCCCCCAGGTTTTCCGGAGGGGGAGTGGTTCGAACCAGTAGTGACCCCCCCCGGTTTTCCGCCAGCAGCGGTAGAACACGCTCTTTCATTTCTTTACGATTTCGGGTAGTGTTCGCTACCCTCTGGGCACCTCGGGTGGGATCCGAATAGACGTCGTCGGCGCATCGCGCCGCATTGGCGATGCCTCGGCGATGCGGCGCGGGTGTGGGGCCCAATTCTCTCCAAGCCGCTGCCGCCGATGCATCGCCAACCTCGCCAATGCATCAGCAATGGGGACAAATCATCCGACACCATCTGATAACTCGAACTCGAATTCGTATGCCTCCAAGCAGTGACCCGGGTCGGTACTCGGGCCTCCCAGGCAACACTTTGGTGGGCCCTGGAATCAACACAGCCATGTTTGTTACCGGTTCCGTGTTGCCGTTTGTTTGCCGCTTCCGTCGCCGTTTTTGTTGCTGGATCCATCGCCGTGATTTTGGGGTCCAAATTCCGGCTCCAATCCGGGAGCCGATTCTACGCCGTTTCTGGTAGCAGTTTGTTTGCCGTTTCCATGTTCAAGAGACGTTGTTTCGAAAACGGTGGAAAAACAAAAAAAAAAAAAAAAAAAAAAAAAAAAAAACGGCCCTGCCGTCCCCAGGGGACACTAACAAGGGCAGCGCCCGAAGGACCAGTCGTTATTCTTGGATCGCCGCGGGGGATGCTAAGGGGATAAGGGGATACAAGTGGATGCGAAGGTAGGTTCGATCCAGCCTAACCCAGCTTCGAAGTGGGCTGCACGTGCCCTAATTGGCTTAAAAGGCGCACAGCTATGTGCTCAGTCGTGGGCGGAGCCCACCCAGCAGAGCTAGCCCTCGCCATCCTAAGCCACACATGGCACTTGTAACCTCCCAGGCAAACCCCCCGAGGCGCGGCGTCGACACCCCTGTCCTCCCAGGGGGGCTTAAGAATAACACCGGGACCTCGACATCTGAATTAAAGGGAAATTAGGACACACAAATAAATACACACAAATAAAAATAGTCCCCATATTTTCCCATATTTCCTGGGTTTTTGTCTTCCCCCCCAATTCCCATATTTTCCCATATTTTCTGGGAATCGCGGATTAATTGTGTCTGTGTGTGTTTTTCCCCTCCTGAATGTTTTAACACTCTGGAAGGTCAGGGACGAGGCTCCGCTCGGCCTCCGGCCCCATCGCCGACGATGCTCGTGCGATGCTACACCGCGGGCAACTTGGCCCGAAAAGCCTGTGCGGGGCGCCTCACGTTGGGCGCCCGAGTTATCCGGGGTAACTCGGGTCAGGGGTAACTCGGGTTTAGATTCCCGAAAAAGGAACCCGAGTTATCCCTGACCCGAGCTACCCCTGATGATTCGGGGCTCTGGACGCCCGAGTTATCCGGGGTAACTCGGGTCCGGGATAGCTCGGGTTTGGATTCCCGGAAAACGAACCCGAGTTATCCCTGACCCGAGTTACCCCTGATGATTCGGGGCTCTGGTCACGTAGCCTCTTTTTTTTGTTCGCCAGAGACTCGAACCAGAGCAAAGGCCGTAATTTCAACGTGGGTGCTAAATCTAATACGAAACAAGAACCGCGACATCGTCGGACCGGGACAAGTCGGGGATCTCTGTGGAGCCGCGGTTCTGGAGGATGCATCGGGCGTCGCCCCCGTTCCAGAACGCGCTAAGAGCGTCCCAGAACGCTCTGGAGCAACTCATCCCAGTCCTGGTCCCGCCCGCGATCCTGAACTCAATCATCACAAAGTGGCGGGCTCCATTTGGCCCTGGGTGGCACCGAATCCAAGATGACCGACGCAAAGGCCTGCAATACTTCCCGCTCGGGCATGATGGTCCCCGTGAGCGCTGGCCCCGCGGCCTCCGCTCCCCGCCGTGGCTCTTCGCTGCCCCCCCCAGACCCCCGACGTCGCGCTTGTTCCCCAACGTCGACCCGCAAAAGTCTGGGCCCCTTCCCCGGTGCGGGTCTCTTTGTGCGGCGACGGGGGAGCGAAGAAAGCCTCCGAACGTTCAAGGCAAGCTGCGATGGACCAGACCACGCCGGGCGTCCCCGCCGCCCCGACCGACACAGAAGCCTCGGCCGACATGTCGGAAACGCCTCAAAAAAACAGCAGCGCTCGTCGCTGCAGCGGCCCGGTACGGGCGTTTCCTCCCGAGTCGTTTCGCTGACTGTCCGGGGGCCCGACCCAGGCCCCTGGAGGCCGAAAGTAGCGAAGCACCTCCCGTTGTGCTTTCTGCCACAGCGCGAGGCTGGCCATCGCTCGGACGCCCATTTCCTGTGTTTTTGTTTTTTTGTTTCGTGCGTGGTTTTTTCGCCGAATGGTCGAGGATGCTCCTCGAAGGTCCTCGCCGAGAAAAAAAAAGGCAAACATCCGAGCGATGCCAGGGAAGCGATCTGGCACCCCAAGGCCTCAGCTCATTGCCCCTCCCTCGCTCGGCAGCGCACCAGCGTTGACCCGGGGGGGGGGGGGGGGGGGAAACGGTCCTGGTGGGGTAGCGGGTCTTGGACCCTCCCTGTGATCCTAACCGGATAAAGGGGCGATAATACCCCCCCTGGGATGATAAAGCTCGCGGTTCCCCCGAGGATAATTAAGGGTTTTCCC